CGCCGCAGTTTCGAGCCATGATTGCAGCCGTGAACCCGCTAGCTGAAGCCCTCCTTTGGCGTAGCCACCAAACGCTCCGCGATCATATTATTGCTGAGTACAACACATACATACCAGCTGTTACCAACTACCTTCGTGAAGCCCGGTTGCTTATACACGTGTCGTTTGACAACTGGACTTCAATTGGTGGGCAGTATGCTTTTACTGGCCTCTGCGTACATTACCTCAACAGTGAGGGCAAGCTAGTTGACCACCTGCTTAGGTTGCCTAAGCTACACGGAGCGCACACTGGCAATAATATTGCCGCTGTAGCAACAACAATACTTCGGCTTTTGGCGTTGACAACACGAGCGTTGGGTACTTTGTGCTTGACAACGCAAGTAACAACGATACTGCAGTTGAGTCCTTAGCAGAGGAGTTTGGCTTTATCGCAAGCGAGCGGCGGCTGCGGTGCTGCTGCCATATACTTAACCTAGGCGCGCAATTAGTAATTTGGGGCAAAGACCGTAGCGCGTACGAGAATGACGCCGCCCACCTTGAGGACGAGGAGAAGTACATGGATGAGTGGCGCAAATACGGTCCTATTGGCGTCCTCTTTGACGTGATTGCGTCTATCTGCACGCCTCAAACTCGGCAACTACTAGAGCGCCCACAGCGCGAGGAGGCAGAATCTCTAGGTGTTACACCTCACATCCGGCAGCTTGTTAAGCCTGTCAAGACCCGCTGGAATAGCTATTTTAGCACGTTTGTGCGCGCAGCTAAGCTACACGGCCCTATCAATAGCTATATTGAATGTAAACTTGGGGAGCATAGTGCTGCAACAGCACCCTCACAACGCCAGAAGAACCGCGAGCAGCTGCCCGCTGCACAGCCGCGACTATACATACGTGAAGGCGGTCTAAGCGGTAAGGACTAGGCGACAATAACAGAGTACATTCGACTCCTTAAGCCATTTGCCGAAGCTACACAGCTACTTAAAGGCCGCGGACAACACGGCCGCCACGGCGCTATTTGGGAAGTTCTAGTAACGTTTGAGTGGCTTCTCGACCAGCTTAAGGCCCTTAAAGACCGTCTTAAGGATGTAGATTACAAAGGTCTAGACGCGCCTGAAGATCATCTTGTTACGAACGTCAACCTTGCTCACAGTAAGCTTGCTGAGTACTACGCAAAATTTGACGATGCGCCTGTCTACTACACTGCTACGATACTACACCCGCATTACAAGCACCACCTCTCAGCGCTCTGGAAGGTACCCGACACCCATGTTACTGCCCGTGACGGTGTTCACTATCGCGACGGCTGGCTTGATAATAACCACCGGGCATTCCTGCGCATGTGGCAGGGGCGAAAGGATGCCGCAGCTATTCCAGCTCAGACAGTGACGCCGCCGCGTAAGAAGTCCCGGCTAGGGTTGTCAACGTCGCGATCAGCTTTTCTACAGTCGTCGATCGAGCAAAGTATACGACAGGTAGAGGCAAGCCTTGCGGAGGATGAGTATGAGATTTGGAAGCGGCAGCCAGCGTTAGCTGAGGAGGACTAGCTGTCTTTTAATCCGCTTCTATACTAGGAGTCAGTTGCTGGGCAATTCCCCATACTCTCAAAGTTTGCTATTGACGTTCTGACAATACCAGCGGCAGCGGCAGACTGTGAGCGGACTTTCAGCGAGCTTGGCGACATGCTAGGCACGCGGAGACTCCATATGAAGCCATAGCTTGTTTCAGCTTTGCAGAGTTTGAAGAGCTGGAAGAGGCTTGGTATACAGCCAACGACTACGTCAGCTTTGGGGTTAGCGCGTACACTATCGGAGGAAGAAATCTCGAAAATACAGGAGCAATTATCTCAGTTCGACGTCAGGTAACTCAGTTCAGTCAGTCCAGCCAGTCTGCAGGCGGCGGCGACGTCAGTTCAGTCAGTCCAGAGAGCTCCGGACTGACTGAACTGACTGATAGCAACTCTGGCTCTGATAGCGCCGCACTTCTCGCAAGGGTGCCGCACAGATCCGACACTAGGAGTAGAGAAGGAAACAGCTGCAAAGGAATTCAAAGAATGGTGGGCCTCTTTGGATAGCAGCACGATCACAGTCTTCTCTGATGGATCGGAACAGCACCGTGAAGGGGAAAAGCGAGTCACCTACGGGTATGCCATATACCGGGCCCAAGAGCAGGTAACTACAGGACGCGGGTCTCTCCACTCGCTATCACATGTTTTCGATGCTGAAGCGATTGGGGCATGCAGAGCACTTCAGCACGCGGCCCAGATAGCAGGACCAACAGATGCGGTTTATATGTGCATAGACAGCACCTCAGTAATCTGGTGCCTACGCGGAACAGCTTCAGACTCCTCGCAATGGGCGTTCCTTCAATGTCAGGAGATAATGGATACAATGCCTAATTTCAAGATCCGATAGGCACTAGGACACACCAACATTGAAGGCAACGAAGCAGCGGATAGCCTCGCGGATACTGAGGCAAGAACCCTCTAGGTCATTTGGACTAGCAGCACAACCAACAGTATCAGGCATACGGACAATAAGGAAAGCAGCACTAGCCGCGGCTAGTACAGCCTGGTGGAGCAACGCAAAGAGCAAGCTCTCCAACTGGTATACCCAGTGGAAGCTGCCGTACCAACCCACCCGGCCACCACATGAGCTAGAGCTAACACGCCCTACCCTAGCAAGACTGCTAGCAATCCGGACTAGCCATGGAGACTTTGCATGGTACCATCAGAAATTCCACCATCACAACGCGACTCTGAAGTGCACCTGTGGGCGCCCAAAGACCCCCTTGCACATCGCACTATGCCGGAAAACCACAACAGCAAGCGTCTTCCGGCGCTGGCCGAAACGGCCACCAGCACCCCCTAGGACACCTAGTGAAGCAGCCAAGTACCTCCAGACGCTCTGGGAAGAGCCAGAGGACTTTGCTGCTTTCCTAGAAATCACAGGTTTCTACAGCACAATATGTAGGCTTCACTAGAGCCTACACTTCTGGGATCTTTCCTCTCTGTCTTTCTTCTTTCTCTCTTTCTTCTCTTTTTCCTTTTCTCCCTCTTTTCTTTCCTTTTCTCTCCTCTTTTCTTTCCTTTATCCTCTTTACTACACACTCCTTAGTAAGCATCAGCTACAACAACTAAAGGCGGATACACGCCTACTGCACAACTATTGTATTGGCGATCAACAGGCGGACCGACCACTACTAGACCACTACAACCATGTACACAAGAATAGGCATCCTAGGCAGAGCACGGCAGGCCATGGGCATAGCCCGTCTACATGCCCCAAGGGAGGCTTTATATATAGACGTTAAATACAACTCACTCACTCACTCACTCCGCGTGAACAGCAAGATCGTCGAAAAGCGTCCAACCGGCCGTGCGCGGCTAGCAGCTCTTAGCATCTGGCAGCTTGCAGTAGCGTGCTGAAATATCTGCTCGCTGTGGCGAAGAACTGCGGCTTTGAGCACCCCAGGCAGCTCTTATTCCCGACTTTGCAGGCAGCTGTTGGTCCAGTCGTGCACGCGCGCGTTGCAGACAGCCGCGCTTCCAACTCGTTCCATAATCTCTTTGCAAAGCGGCTCACCAGTTATAGAATTTGCTATTAAATGGCGCTTAGCTCAGGCGTACACTACTTCCACTATAACATTAAAGTAATTAATCAACTTTTTATCGAACGTCTGCGGAACAGTGCGCAAAGTGTGCGCAGGAAGACCATATCTCTACCTCTACACGATCTACATCGCTGCGCAACCCACTGTGTTAACATGAGTGTCGCGAGACGCTATGATGGCAGCCTAAGTAGGACTGCTCTACCCGATGGTACCCTGTCCATGTGCGCAGTAGTCTAACGTGAGTTCACATAGCGAACGCTGTACAGCGCAACTTGTGAGGCGGGGCGGCGCAGGATGCTCGATGTGCCCAGCATCCGCTCAGCCTGATCGCATGCACTGCCTCGACGGGCAGCCTTCACAGCAGCCCAGCATAAGCCTCCTCTGCCTGCTTCGCTCTGTCGCGACTATGCCTTTCTACTCTCCACACCTTTAAAGTCGTTAGCGTCTCGCTATTGCTAGGCTACCGTGTCCGTGCACTCAACGCGCCTGTTCAGTTAACGCGCACCCCACCATGATACTATCTCAAGTTTGCAGCCCCCATAACTCAACACCACAATGACAGTTGAAGCTGCCCTTGCAGAGTTAGACACATCAGATTCAGATAAGGATATTTCGTACACGAAGTTGGCTGAAAAACACAAGAACAGACGCGTATGCGAAGCGCAATTGAAGAGCTAACAAAGCGGAAAACTCGCAAGCGGCGCTACGTACGGGCAGAAGAGACCCTAACAGTTAGTGAGGTAGCTGACTTAGTCGCTACAAAAGAGGGTGGCAGCTGTGAGGAGGGCGAGACGCCTGCGAAGAGGGTGCGCGTAGAGAGGCACTGCGGCCGTTGCGGTAAGGTTGGGCACAACTCCCGCACCTGTAAGGTAGAAATAGAGGATATAGAAGATAGCGAAACTTCTGAATAATACTATCCTATTGCCTACAGTATAATAATTTGTTGTGGTGTTGCGCTGCGTCGCTGCGCAGGCGATTTGGTGGAGAAACTGCGGCGCTCGCTGGGGTGCGGCGCTCGCTGGTGAACCACGTTACCCCTCGCCATCATCTCTTTCAAAACGCAGATCATTCCCGCTAACAGAGCAAGATCCGCAAACAATTGGCGTCACTACTCGGTATTCTATACGCAGTGGAAAAATCTATAGAAGCAAACGGATGACGTATAGGGTGGAGAAGAAAACAGGTTCAAAACAGTGATAATTGTGTATAAAGAGATTTGTCCGCCCACGGACTTTCATACGCCCGCAATCCACTTCCATCGAGTTCAAAGCAACCGAAACCTCAAGTCAACTTTCACTTTAAGTCAATCCTCAACCCTCAAGTACTATCAAACCGGCCCAATGGCAGGCACTGAGTAAAGGATTGATGCCGAGTGGAATTCCCACTCCCATAGTGCTATGTCGGAAAGATCGAGGAAGTAGGGGTGCCCCATTCAGCTTTTAATGCGTCAATGATCCATGTCGTTGGCCAGGCATGATGTTTTTCGAAGTTGCTCAGGATCTGTACTACTTGATCCCTCTCTCTAGGATTGCATACGAGCGGTCCCCAGATGAAGACGCTATGGCAGACGGTAATCGCCAGTGGGACAGTCTCCGGTGAGCTATTGCTAGCCCCGCAAATGGCGCGTGCGTGCGATAGAATTTGATGCTATTGTAATGAGTACATGGCAGTGCTTCTCAATGGCTTGAGTCCTTACGCCTGTATCCGAAATGCTCCCGACATTGCGGATCGCGAACTTCGGGCCTGGCTTATAACATAGCAGCATAATACACGCAAATTGGTAAAAGCCAAACGATACAGCTGATAGATTTGTGAGCATTTGGGTGAAGAAGTAGATTTACAAGACTCACTGTGCCAATCGGCCGTGAACAGAACTTCGGGAAACGAGCCTTGATCGCCAGCTGGACATTCGAAAACCGCATTAAAGGTATCCGGCCTGTCATGCATCCACGTCTGAACAAGATCCCACAGCTCCTGCCAGCGTCGCATCTTGTGAGCTTTCTCGTGTTGGGGTTCCTTACCATCGAAGCAGAAGTTCGCGACACATGCAACATTCCATGTCATTTGATTGGCCCAAGCTGTCTCTAACCTTAACCGAGCCAGCGGGTGCGCATCTCGCATTGAGACCGGAGTCGGGTGCAGTTGCAACGAGAAGTCAATATCAGGCGGCTGCTGGTTGATAGTGGCATCGTAGAGGCATTGGCGTACGTATACCCAGAAGACGGCTTCGCGCAAGGTGGGCGCTGATGGATCTACATAGTGGTTTCCCTGGGATGATCGAATGATGACCGAGCAGCCTGCGAGGTCCTGTTCATGATCTGAACCAGTGCTGGACGAGACTAGGAGCACATGTTAGGAAGGAGATGCACAATAGACACGTTGGTACGCACCGGTTAGCTGCTCATAGAAGCGCAGTATGACAATGGCGCACAAGAGAGTCTCGTCGTGGCTAGCAGCGTCCTCATTTAGTCGCTCGATGAGCAGAGCAATGCAGCGCTGATAGGCTGCATCCGCTGTCGTGTCCTTTCCACAGTGGCGAGCAGCAAAGGACATGATGGCGTAGCAAAGCACTGAGCATTGTTTGATTTTCTCCGGTACCCACAGCGTAAATGGACGAGTGGCGTCGGTGCAGTCGAGCCAGCGACCGAGATGTTCGGTGTAATGGTGCACCAGCAAAGCCTCTTCGTGTGTCAGAGGAACAGGCTGTGGCAAGTAGTTTCTCGTGCCCTTTGGTATATCCCTACGGTTATGCGAATGCGAACTCGCCTGCTGCATCACCCGGCGGGTATGCACCGGCAGGGGGACCTCTGGTATGCCTTCTGGGTTATGCGATTGTAGCAAACTCGCCACCGACATGCCACCCGTCGTGCGCTTGAATCGGGGAACAAAGTATAGCGAGCCTGGCGACAACTGGGCTAGTGGCGAGGAGACACTAGTAGACTGGCCTTCCGATATCCCATCGGTCCGACCCTTTTTCCGTTTTCTCGGTGAAGTGTTCCGGGTGAAACTTTCCATGGTGAAACTGTTCGCACGAACCGCCTCATCCCTTCTATCGACACCATCAACATCGACATTCGTCGTATCCTCCTTGGTCTCGGTTTCGTCGTCGGTGCCGCCGGCAGCAGATCTACTTGACGAGGGTCCGTCAGGTCGGTAATCCTTGAAATTAGTATGTGGCTTTTCCCACTGGCAAGGGCGGTTCTTCTTGCCGCAGGCTTTGCACACTGGACGGGTCTCATCGCCTGCCCGCAGAATTAGTATCGAAGGAATGAGGAACACTCTGAATACCAGACATACATTTGACGCGGCGCGCTCGACATGTAAGGCTTGCACATATCAGTGAACTTTGTCGCCACAACCTTATAGGTTTACTTACCAGCCGCTCCTGGAGCGGAATTTACTGTACAAAGTCAGCAATATGTTTCACGTGTAAGCTGGGTACCGGACTTTACCCCATGTGTAGGAATTCGAAATAAATGTTCGAGTTGGAGTGTGCCTGTCAAGCTGTTAGCGCCCTGAATAGTGCCCTTCGCTGTTGTAGCCTGTCGAATTTGGATCATACGTCAAGGTACGGTAAGCGTTGGCGTGTTCCGTTGACCGCGTTGTTGGAAATGTCTCGCGCTCTCAAATTGCACCTCCTCTGCCTGTCAACTTCAAAGCGTTTCGCCACTACCTCATCGCAACGGCAAGACTGGTCAATTTGACACGGACTTGTCGTCTTGGAGATAGTGAACAGTTCGCATTCGCCAGCCAGATCGAGTTTTATCGACTTCTCGGTAAAAGTGGCCGACATGAAGCCCCTTCTGGGAATGCTCTTGGCCAAGAAGATACCCTGCCGCATCGTCTTACATGCGGTAGGAAACGGTCCAGAAGAACAAATAACGTGGTTCACAAGCGAGCGCCCCACCCAAGCGAGCGCCCCACGAAACACCAGCGCAGCGCACGCGTAGCGACGCAGTACAATACTACAACAAATTATTATACTATACACAATAATGTAGCATTATTTAGAAGCGTCGCTATTATCTACATCTAATATTTCTACCTTACAGGTGCGGGAGTTGTGTCCAATCTCGCTGCAACGGCCGCAGCGCCTCTCTGCGCGCGCCCTCTTCGCAGGCGTCTCGCCCTCCTCACGACTACTACCCTCCCGCTTTGTAAGCGTGTCAACAGCGTCTTGAAGGCAACCCATTTCTTCCTGCACTAACACCATACTATAAGCTATCTGCTGAGCGCCTTTACTTAGCTGCTTAACCTGCTCGTCTAATAAGCTTGCTGGTGACCTGCGGTAGTTTTGCACGCGATTTCGAATTAGCGTAGATTGCGCCTCTATCTTACGGGCGTTGCGTAGTGTTTGCGCCTCCTAGACGACAGTGCCTGGTGCAGGCGGCGTCGGCGTACGCAGCTGCACATCTAGCTTCGATAACACAGCCTCTAGGTCATATAGGACTAGTCTAGCACCTTGAAAGCCTGCGCGAACGTTCTCTAGTGTGAAGGTCTTCTTATAAGCTTCTTTAAAGGCTGGTAGGAAGGTTTCCTTGTTAACATGGTGGATGCGGCTGCGTGCTAAGAGCGAGATCCTATTGCCGTAGTAGCGCTTTAACAGCGAGTGGGGGACAACGTTAAGAGGCTGCAGGAGGTGCGACGAGTGAGATGGCATGCAGAGAGCGATAATCTTGTTCTCCTTGCAGTAGTCCTGGAATTCTGTTGAGCAGTGGCTCTTATAGCCGTCGATAATAAGCATCCTGTACGCCCTAGCAGAAGACGCCTTCGTATAGGCATCGAAGTGCTTAAGCTACGCAAGCGCGAGGTCGTTGTTGATCTAGCTAGTAGGAGAGACAGCGATAATCTAATTACGAGGTAGATCTGCGAACTAGGAGGTAATAAGGACCTTGCCTGTAAAGATGAGGAAGGGTGGGATAACGCGCCCTGTCGCAGCGACACCTTGTACTAGGGTAACCTACTCGCGATTACTAGGCTGTAGTTTCTTCTGTTTCCTAGGTTTCTCTAAGCCTGTAACAACAAGCTGAGAGGATATCTTGCCCATCATGAAGCCAGACTCATTAAAGTTCTAGGTATCCTTATCTACAATACTATACTTCGCCTTTATTGATTGAACTAGGCTGAACTAAGGCCGGATAATCGCTGGGTCCTCGCAGGCAGCTCGCTGGCGATCGTACGGACGGCTCCATCGCGTGCGCAGCTTAGGTGTACGCTTAATAAAGTTATTAATCTAGTTCTTGCCCGTAGGCTTCCCACTACGCTCCCTTAGCAGTCTATCCGCTATATCTTGTACGTGCGCCTTTGAGGGCGGTATTCTACGTAGACTCTCTTTAAGTACACGCTGTATAATTGCCTCCTCTTCTAGCTTAGTAAGGCGTTTTGAGTTTGGCTCGCAATCGCGTTGAGGGCGCTTTCCGTCGCAGCGCCGCTGTATCGTCCTTCGGGGAACGTTGTAGATTGCCTCAGCGCGTCGTAGGCTTTTTACTTGGCTGCTTTGAACATTAGAGACAGCAAGCTGTACGTCGCCTTCAGTATAGAGTCTTAGAGCTTGGTGTTGTTGTGACATTGCGTGTTGTCGCTGCGCGTGCGCTGCGCTGGTGTTTCGTGGGGCGCTCGCTTGGGTGGGGCGCTCGCTTGTGAACCACGTTATATACCGAGCTTTACGGCGAAACGCGCGGCCTAGCCAAACAGCACCTCAACTTCAACACCACATAACTCTATCAATATAGGCTCAATTCAGGCTGCGCTTGCAGCTATAGATGCTTTAGAGCCTAGAGAAAAACTTGTATACACGCAGATCGCGAAAAGATTTGGCGTTGACCGCAGAACACTCGCGCGGCGGCATCGAGGTCTCACCACCTCACGCGCTATCTGCTACCAAAACCAGCAAGCTCTCCACCCACAACAGGAAATCGAGCTTATACAATATATCGATCGAACTAGCAAGCAAGGATTACCACCGAGTAAAGATATAGTACGAAGAATTGCTTCACAGCTTGCCCAGAAAGAGCTTGGTTACCACTGGGTTGATCGCTTTGTTCAGCGCTATCCAGATCTTCTCAAACCAAAACTGGTCACCGCAATGGATCGCAATCGTCACAAGGCCGATTGTGGTGAGAAGTACCGCTTATACTTCGAGCTTCTGCACCGCAAGCTCGCCCAGTATGATCTAGAGCCTGCTCACACGTACAATATGGATGAGAAAAGCTTCGCTATTGGTGTCACAGACAGAAGCAAAAGGATCTTTGATAAGGTACTCTATGGCAAGAAGCACTTAAAGCAGTCTTTGCACGACGGCAACAGCGAGTGGGTGACGCTTCTAGCATGCATATGCGCGGATGGATCTACTCTTCCTCTAGGCATCATCTACGCGGCCACCGGCCGGGCAGTTCAGGCGTCCTGGGTGGCTTCGATTAACAAGAAAGAGCACCAGGTGCACTTCACCACCTCCCCCAATGGCTGGACGAACAACGATCTCAGTTTAACTTGGCTTGAACAGGTGTTTGACCGCTACACCAAGGGCAAAGCGCGGAGAAAGTGGCGGCTGTCGATAATAGATGGCCACGGCAGCCATGTAACGAGAGATTTCATCACATACTGTGATAACAACAAGATACTTTTGCTTATATTTCCCCCACACGCCACCCATACGTTGCAGCCGTTAGATGTAGTCTGCTTTAAGCCTCTTGCTAGTAACTACACTAAGGAGCTCAATTTTCGCACTCAGAAAACTCAGGGATAGCTGCCGGTCAAGAAGGGAGACTTCTTCCCTCTTTTTTTTTGGAGGACCTAGACGTCTACCTTCACGGAAAAGTTGGTGCAGAAGGCCTTCTCCGCCACAGGAATCTTCCCACCCAGCGCCAACGTCATACTCAATAAGTTCAAAACAACAACACCTGAGAGAGCTGCAACGCCTCATCGTCAAGCTACACTAACTGCAGCAATCAGTGAGCCACCGTGGCTTAAAGCAAAGTCTCTACTTCGTGCAGCAGTGGTGGAGAATGACGAGGTTGCCAGCCGTAAGCTTATGCAGTACATCCACCATCTTTCAGTGCAGAATCAGCTGCTTGAACACCAGCTGCAAGGCGCTAGAGAAGCTCTGACAGAGAAGGCGGAGATGAAGGATAAACAGAAGGTCTTGCCTTTGTACGCGCACACTCTTGAGCAGCATGGCAGGGCGAGGTGGTGGTCTTCTACATCAAAGGCAGAGGCTGACGCACGTGAAGTGGCATACGAAGCCTACACCGCTGAACAAGAAGCAGCAAAAGCTACTGAACGTGAGCTGAAGAAGACTTAGAAGCTACTTAAGGATAAGCGCGATGAGCAGGCTTGTGTGCGGCGTGTGAGGGAGAAGAGGCGCATCTAGGAGCGCAAGGAGATTGATGAGCGTAAGGCAGAAAGAGAGCGCAAGAAACGCGAACGCGACTCTTAAAAATTATCACAGACTACTTAAAAAGGTAAGCGCAAGGCACTATAGAAAGCAGCACTAAGAAAGAAGCAAAATCGTGGTTCTGCAGCTGTGCGGAGTGATAGTGTTGTGCATAAGCAGCCCTCAGCTCCTACACCAACACTCAACAACTGCGGCCGCAAAATACTTTAGCTACGCAAATATTGGTAGCAAGTTTTGTCGCATAGGTCCATAGATCACTTTGTTAAAAAATCTAATTGTAATAGCTATTGTATGTGGCTGTAGAGCTTTATTTTCTATAGGTAGCGTAGGTGCTAATAGTGCGCGTTGCGGCACATGCGCATTGCGAGCACGGACACGGTACCCCACATGCGTGAAGAGAGGCGAAGCTGAGCCCATTCGCTTTCTCCGCATCGTTAGCTTTCTGCCTGATCCTCAACCCCACCGGGTCTGCGCCCTCGCACTCTTCCGATCATCCTTTGTCAATACTGCTCATCAACCTGACTTGCATCGAAAAATGACGAAACGGAAAAGAGGATCGAAGGCAAGCACTAGGACAGATTCTGCCTCGCCCAATCGTCCACGCATCATTCCGCAAGAACGTCTGCTCAGTCGATTCTACGAGCCTCTCGTCCTGCTTTATACGCTTGGGCGTACGAGGGGAGACCATGTGCGCGCCGTGATGCCTTCACAGAAGGACATTGCACATCTTCCGCTTCTTGATATAAGAAGAATGGTTCTGAGTGACTTGGCATATATGTGCGACTACGACAAAGGCGGTGAAACTGTGACGGCGATTGGGTTGCAATCCACACCGCAAAGGCACATATTCTGGGTCGCGTCCAACGTGGGTTCGAAAACGAAGACCATCAACTTTATTCGCTCGATCTTGGCGCAAATCGTCCATGTATCGGCTGCTTCAAAAGCAACGCAACTTGCCACAGAGCTGGCATCGCAGTGTATTGCTTTGCGACCCCAAGAATTAAGAAATACAGGAGCCATCTCAAACCCTTACTTCGAAAATGCACTTCTTATCTTGCCGAGACGAAGCAAGCGGTCGGTGAGTTCAACTCAAATATGATTATCGTGGTCGATGATACAAGAATTTCCTCACAGAACCCGGCCTCCTCGAATGGCTGCAGAGTTGGGAGCATGCGAGCAGTCTTTCGGACCTGTGCTGCTCTGCATATGCAAGCCGTAAATCGGATTTCATGCGTGCCCTCGCTCGACTCAGTGCAGAGCCCACTTACGGAAGCAACAGAGACGCGATACATGTGGCTTTCGGCATGATTCGACACTACATCGGGAGGCTGGGCTACCATTTCCGAGCGGCTGATACATTAGTGGCTTGCGCACCAAGACTCTTCTATCTGCTTCACGATTTCGAAGTCTGCAGCGTTCCTGTCCCGGTCAAATCCGCAATACCTCCGCCAGCCCAAATGACCACACTTGATAAGATACTCGTCCGTATGCTGCCAGCTAATTCTCCCGAGCTAGATCTATATCAGGAGGCGCTTACACATATGGACGGTCGATACCAGCTATTCAGCCGGTATATGGATAATTACGCTAGGCCTAATCGGGGCTCTTGTGTTCATGCTGAGATTCAAGTGCTGGAACATTTCTATGCACATGGGATGCAGTTTGCATGCGATGACCCATTCATTGCCTGCAGCAAGCCCGCGTGTTTCTGCTGCCTTCTCTACTTTCGACACCATCCAGGACACGTGGTGGAGCCCGTCTCTCACAACAAAATCTACCTGAATTGGCGGCCGCCTGATTTCAGCGCAACAGTGGGCATAATCAGTCCAAACCACCAACGAGACATTCTGAATGCCATGAATCAAGAGATTCGAAGAGAAGCCTTGCATCAACTCCGTGGGAAGACTGCGCTTAGGGCTTGGCATCCGGACTCCCTCACCAACATCACGTGGTCTGCTCGAAGCGAGCAGGTGATAGGAGGGATGGGCAATGCTCTGGGCCTAGCAGCCGACGGAACCGTGTCTTGTGAGCGCTCTGAAAGCCCGCGCACTTTGGGATCTGGGCGAGCATCTCCGATCCTGAAAACGATTGAGAAAGAGAGCGGAATCAATGTTCTGAGGGGCGCTTTTGACGATGTTGTCTCAGACAATGTATTGCAAATTTTGCAGCTACCTCTGGAAGAGTTTGTCAGCGATTCGGATGAGAATGGAGGGATTCAACTTGAAGACTGATCGACACCGGAACCCTCGTAACAATAGTGACCCTTTCAAAATGACTACCAGATCCGGAGTGCTTTATAGAAATCGACCACAAAATCCCCGCCTCCATGTAAGAGACCCAGGAACGCTTCTTCTTTTTGTAAGTCTTTACCGTGTTCAGCTGCGATCTGAGCGACGGCTAAGCGCATGGAACAGGAGCTTCTGGTAATGGCATAGATCTCTTCGACGCAGATCGGGAAGCTCTTACTTTGCCAACCAGCCTTCAGTCGGTGCTTCATTTTGGTCAGAGCGAGTACCTTTAGATCTTTCAGGAAGAACATGTCAGCCAAAGCATACACTCTGGGGTCTTTCAGCATGGCTGAATCGTCTAGCTTTAGGTTAGCATGCCAGACGCACAGGTCTGAGGGGAGATGCTTACCTTGCAGGCCCTCAATTTTGAGATCATCTGTGTAGTCGCCAGTGTAAAGATACTCAAAGACTCTCCAGTGAGCCATGGCACTGCCTTCATCGAATCTGATCTCGCCTTCGCAACCCTCCGCGAACATCTTATCCTGGAATGCTTTCGCAAAATAGCGGCTTTGAACACAGATTACGAAACGATGCGCGTAAAGTCTAGTGCCATGGATGAAGATGGTGACGTCCGAGTAATCTTGCTTATTGAACATTCTGACCGATAAATTAGCCTGTCTTGCGGCGCCAAAATTAGTAGGCCTCGTTTAGCACATACTTGCTGACAAAGTTTAAATTTGGGAAGTCCGTTGCAGGCTATATCTAGTGTCAGATCGGCATCCACAAAGCATCAGGGATTCATCTGAGGGGTAAGAGAAAAACATACTGGCATAACTGCTTTCATCTCCTTGTCGTTTTGAGCAGGTGCTGTAAGCTCAACGTCTCGTATGAAGGATGCGTATGATGGACCGAGATCACGATCGCACTGAATACGATTTCTGGCTTTGTCCTTTTTCGACTGGGCTCGCCGCCGTCTTGTTTCCGCGAGCGCATGCATGCGCGCCGGAGAAGTAAGTGAAGCACCTTTATGGTGTGGTAAGCGGATCGACGGCTTGCGTTGGTGGGGCAACACGCGCCTCCACGGTAGGCCCGCGTTCGGGCTCCCGCTGGTCGGCAGCCTGCCCCGCCCTGAGCTGGACCTCACAATATTCCTGGAGAAGGTCGAACTGCATATTGTTATCGGACAATGTCTCGATAAGCAAGAAGAGAATGAGGATGAGATCTGTCGTAAGAGACGACGACGTAGCAAAGGCCAGAACAAATGAATAGCGTTTGCTGGGATGGATGCGCTATGAAGGGCATAAATCCGATCTAGTGCCAGCTGCGCCCTTCGAATCACGAAACGCCATCTAAGCAAAAACCATGTGATCGTATGCGTCGATCGCGAAATGCATGTATGGGTCCTGGCAACAGGGCAGCGCTTGATGACCAGTCATTAGACTCCGCAACAAGCAATCCAATCAATCTCAGAGTCGTCGATTGACTTGATTGTTAGCAGCCTAGCTGCTGATTGATTGTGGATTGATTGAAGCTATTTTGAAGTAGCTCAGATTGACTTGATTGACTTGATTGGCTAATATATACATAACATGGTTGGCAAGCGAGCGGCGCACCCCACCAACTTTGATCACCTCTCCCATCACAACGTACAATGGCTCAACGCAGCGCTACTCTATTAGCTTCGAATGAAGCAGATATTCAACTTGCTATCTTATCTATTGATGCCAAACAACTTAGAGGCAACCGTGCTGCAGCTGCAATGTACAGCGTAGCTGAAACAACGCTCCGCCGCCGACGCGCTGGCACGCTTGCTCGACGTGATTGCCAGCCCAACTCAAAGAAGCTCACCCAGCTGGAGGAGCAGGTGATTGTTGGCTATATACTTGATCTGGATCTACGTGGATTTGCACCTACGTACGCAGCTATACGTGATATGGCTGATAAGCTGCTCGCTGCGCGCGGCGCAGGCCAGGTTGGACAGAAGTGGCCAGCCAACTTTGTCAAGCGTACAGACAGTCTCACGACGTGTTTCAACCGAGCGTACGATAGGCAGAGAGCTCTGTGTGAGGATCCTGTGCTGATTAAGAGCTGGTTTGATCTGGTAGAGCAGACAAAGGCCAAGTACGGCATCTGTGATGATGACGTCTACAACTTTGATGAGGCTGGCTTTATGATGGGCAAGATCACGACTCAACTTGTCGTGACAGGGTCAGAGAGGAGAGGCCGGCCAAAGGCTATTCAGCCAGGTAATCGTGAGTGGGTGACGTTGATCGCTGCGATCAATGCTGCTGGCTGGTCAGTTCCGCCGTTCCTCATCTTCGCTGGCCAGTATCACCTCTCTGCCTGGTATGAGGAAGCAGATATCCCACGCGACTGGGCGATCGCACTCAGTGATAACGGCTGGACAAACAATGAGCTCGGAGTAGAGTGGCTAAAGCACTTCAACGCTCATACGAAGACTCGCGTCGTCGGCGCGCGTCGCCTGCTTATCCTTGACGGGCATGGGAGCCACCACTCTCTTGAGTTTCAAGAGCTCTGCAAGGAGAACAATATCTATACTCTCTGTATGCCAGCTCACTCATCTCACCTACTCCAGCCTCTTAATGTTGGTTGCTTCTCGCCGTTGAAGCATGCGTACGGTCGTGAGGTTGAGAGCCTGATCCGCCACTGTATCAACCATATCACCAAGCTCGAGTTTCTGCCAGCGTTCAAGACAGCGTACAGTCGATCATTCACCTCAGCCAATATCTACTCAGCCTTTCGAGGCGCAGGCCTTGTGCCTCTCCAGCCAGATATAGTTCTATCAAAGCTTGACGTACAGCTGCGTACGCCTACTCCAGATGCCCTACCAGAGGCGCTCTCAGAGGCGCTCTGGGAGGCGCGTACACCGAGTAACGTACGCGAGCTTGACGCTCAATCGACGCTGATACGTGATCGCGTACGACGGCACAAGAGCTCATCACCAGCTTCAATTATTGAAGCGATTAACTAGCTTAAAAAGGGCGCTGAGGTAATGATGCTCTCAGCTGAGTTAATGCGCGATCGGATCACCAGTCTTGAGAGAGCTAACAAGGCAGCGTCTGCGCGTAGACAGCGTAAGAAAAAGCGTATACAGAAGCGTGGAGTCCTTACGAAGGGAGCTGGAGAGGATATACTCGCTCAACATGAGGCTGACCAGCAGGTTGCTTGTGAGCAGCGTTAAGGAGGAGAGCGATCGGGCGTGAGCCGCCAGGCTCTAGCGCGCTGCACAAAGTGTAGAGAGACTGGGCATAACTCACGTACGTGCAAAAAGGATAGTTAGATACTACTTAATCTACTCTATTAATTTCTATATACTATACTACTGCGTTGTTGAGTTGTAGAGCTTTAAAGATGATCAAAGTTGGTGGGGTGCGCCGCTCGCTTGCCTGCGCCGCTCGCTTGCCAACCATGTTAGGGGTTATCGAATCTCCGAGGCAGATGCCGAACTCGCAATAAGCTAATTCATCGGCTTATCAGCACGTGACTTTTTTTTATCATCACGTGATATCGCAATCAATAGAGGCGGACTACTCGATCTCTATCTACATCCTTAGAATAACGATCTGACCAATCTAACCAATCTAGTCAATCAATCTGAAGGTCTAAGATTGATTTGCTTGCAGATTGGAGCAAATTCAAGAAGCGACGGATTGGATTGATTGGATTGGTTAAACCAATCAAGTCAATCAATCCGTTCAATCCGGATTGCTTGTTGCGGACTGTGTTGATGGCATCCCAGCAATCTCAATCACGGCAGCGCAAGGCTCTGGGGCCCCCGCAAGAGAATTCTTCCTGCCACTGTTCGCTAATTGCTCCGACGCAGAGTTGAGGAAGCCGCTACAACACTCGCCAGGGAGGTTGATGGTCTAACTGACTTAACCGGATGCTAACCGATAGCAGGAGTGATCTCCGCAGAGAACACACTCCCAGAAATGGCTAGCTCTTTCATAGCCACAGGAGTCACTGACCAGCTCGGCTTTACGGGAAGTGAGCAAGCTTCACGTGTCGGTAAGTTCTTCCCCCTTGCGCTAGTCCGCTGTGTTGCCATTACGCAGGACGTGATCAAAGTTTTTAATAGCAGCGCCGCTACGAACATGAGCGGAAGCGGAGCGGCGGTGCCTATCAGTAGCATGTTCTGCGGCCGGTGAGTCCCAGTCGCCCTTGCAACTGGTGCGCAGCAGGGGCGATACCACACGTGAGGAGACGTCGACGAAGTTACATATTTAGAGAAGAATAGACTAACGTCCGTCCCTGGGTGGCGGGACACCCTGCGTGACGGGACGCCACAGACACTCCCCAACACAACAAACGCAACAATAGGTTAGAAGAACATATATTCTCGGGATAGTAGCCTTAATATATGAAGTTTATTTTATCCTAACGTCTTTTAGAAATAGGTTCTACTTACCGTGCAATACAACAATTCAGTGTAAGCGTTACACAACCGCCTCGCTTTAGCAAGCAGTAGGTGTGTTGAAAGCTTATGCATCTTGTCAAAAGTCTGTCAACTTGCAGCTTGCTATATCATCATCCTATCCCGAGCACTGCGCTTGAGCTCAAGAGGTTGTAGTGCTTCTGTGCTAGTTCCCAGCCCGCCTGCTAGAAGTGCCAGATAAGGAAGACCCGCACACCTAGCTTAAAGCAGCTTAGCTGTGATCTACCGCTGCCGACGCTAGACGTATGGCTGTATGGCTGTGTGGCTATGTGGCTGAACGGCGCTTTTGCCAAGCGCTCCAGGACATCCGAAACCCGGCTCGGATTGGGAGCAGGGCGAAGTTGGAAGGCCCTGCCGTATAGCTCATGTCAACGAACACACCCAGCATCGAAGCCGCAACCGTAACCAGCTTCCAATACAGCCATCGTGCAACTTCAAGATGAGGTGTAAGCACGACTATAGCTAACGCGAAAGCTTACATGCCATAGAAATCAACCATCGCGCCGCCCTACAGCTCCGCAGACCCGCCGTGGATCTCTCGTCCGACCCACCACGTCCTCATCCTTCTCGAGCACATCGCAACGTATACATATACGCATAACACAGAGTAACAAGGTGCGAGTCTAGGCTTCAGTAAGTGGAGTGCGTGTTACTGAACGGTCGCCGTCGCTACACGCACATACAAAGGCGGAAAGGGTCCGCACATCTTAGAGATATAGCTGTTGTACGGTCATGCGACGAACGGCTTCTCGCATAAGCACTGCAATCATCAGCGTAGAGGAAAGGTGCTTTAGTGTGATCCCTGAGGGTGATAAGGGGTTTAGGTTGTTGATACTTATAAGCGCTATTAAGGGAAGGGTAGAGCAGAGATCTGATGGTACCCATGCATGGTAAGGTACTAATTACGCTATCTAAGGCTGCATGCAGTCCTGTCGTCGATCATGGGCCTTCTATCTCTTCGCAATGCCATTCGATCCGCATGTCCATGGCAAGGGTGTGGCAGGTGCGGGTTCGCCATCTACTTAGCTTGTGGGGGCAAATTTGCCGCACGTTGCTTTCATTACAGCGGCATAAAGTATCGCTGTCAGCGTTATGTTCACCAGACTACTATTACTGCCAAGATATAGGCTTCAGAAGGTAGCTATCTTCTTTAAGGACACCAGTCAGCCAGCCATGCATGGATTCCCCTCATGATGACTT